GTGGTATGTTGTGTTGTGTTGTGTGTTGTGTGTTTGTGTGTGTGTGGTGTATGGTGTGTGTGTGTGTGTGTGTGTAAGTGTTGGTGTGTGTTGTTGTGTGTGCTGTGTGTGAGTGTATGTGTGTGTTGTGTGTGTGTGTGTTGTGTTGTAGTGTAGTGTGTGTGTGTGGTTGTGTGTGTGTGTGGGCATGTGTTGCAAGGATTGCGTAAACATAAGCAGCAATTTGTTGGTGTGTATATTGTGTATGTGTTGTGTGTGTTGTGTGGACATAGACAAATGTTGTATTGGTGTGTGTGCTGTGTGAGTGTATGTGCTGTGTGTTGTGCTGTGCCACTCTCGCTACTGCTCGGCATCTGACACAAACCATGTTGTGTGTGTGTGTGTGTGATACTTTGAATCGGATGTGTGTGTGTGGTGATCATGAATAATCACCAACCATGTGGGCTGTGGGTGTGTATAGTCATGGTACGTGTGTGTGTGTGGTGTGTGTGTGTGTGTGTGTGTGTTGCGGATGTGTGTGTGAGTACTTAAGAAGTGAGGAAAGACCCGTTGTGTGTGCGTGTTCCTTACAAGATGTGTGTGCATGTGTGGTGCATGTGTGTGTGCATGTGTGATGTGTGTGTATATTGTGTATGTGTGTGTGCTGGTTGTCTGAGTGTTAATTGTGTGCTATGTGTGTGTTGCTCTTAACTCATGTGTGTGTGTGTGTGTGTAGTGTCTCCGACATGCCAGGTTTATAAAGCGATGTAAATATTTAACATACTTCACTCGTATAGCATAACTCGACGTAAAGCTCATGTGTGTGTGTTGCGTGTGTGTGTGCGTGCGTGTGTGTGTGCGACTGTGTGTGTGCATGTGTGTGCTGCATGTGTGTGTGTATGTGTGTTCATTGCTGTGTGTATATGTGTGTATATTGTGTGGTTTGTGTTGAGTGGGTGTGAGTTGTATGTGTGTGTGTGTGTGTGTGTGTGTGTGTGTGTGTGTGTGTGTGTGTGTGTGTGTGTGTGTGTGTGTGTGTGGTGTGTGTGTGTGTGTGTGTGTGTGTGTGTGTGTGTGTGAGTGTGTATGTGTCGCACCTCGACGGGTCTCCTCGACTCCAGCTGCTGCAGGATCCCACGAAGGCGTCCACGTCCGTCTTCTGGCGACCAGGCGCAGCGCCTCCAGCTCGTCACGCGTCCACTGCCTGGCGACGCGGCGCTCGAAGCCGGGTCGCGGTGGCGGTGACGAGGCTGGCGAGGGACCGGCGAAGGCCATGGCGGCGTCGGTGAGGAAGGTGAGCAGGCACAGCACGAGGCCCACGCCCACCACGCCCACCACGATCAGCATGGCCAGCAGGATGTGGCGGTGGTGCTGCGCCAGCGGGAAGTGGCAGCCGACTATATATATATATATATATATATATATATATATATATATATATATATATATATATATATATATATATATATATATATATATATATATATATATATATATATATATATATATGTATATATGTATATTTGTTTTTTTATTAACGATATTACCACTGTTATTGCGATTATTGGCGTTATTGACATTTTCTT